TATTCCTGAATCATGCCGCTTTCTACTTGGTCTTACACTTTGTTGAATTGAACGGGAGCCAAATACAGCCATGCTAAGTCCATCACAATCAGACAAGCACTGATTCAGCCAGGTCGTTTCTCTCGTCGGCAGTACACGCATGATCACAAATGCCCCGCGATGCGGGGGAAGAGACTCAAGCTTACCCTCATGAAGCATCTTTCTCTGGCTGTTTCTCATCGACAACCTATCCAGGTACTCGAGGAAGCAACGAATATGGACGGCACAGACGAAGACGCCAAAGCCAAAGGCAAAACAAACCTACACTACTCTGAAGCCAGTCGGAAAACCTTTGGCACTAAGCATAAAAACGAGATTCGGATTTAAAACACTAATGCCAAGTTGGTCAGTTCTTGCATATGGTCCAAAGAATTAGCGCGTCACCAAAAGCATTTCGAATGCGCTACAGACTTATACCACCACCATCTTTCACTGGCCCGCTAACGAAGATCGGACGGTCAGAAAGGATTGACAATAAGAAACTCTGCCAACCAACCAAACAAGAACCTATCGCCCAACAAATATGCCGACGGAAATGGAGATGGATGTCTCATCCATCACCCTCTGAGGAGATCGTTGAGTGACATCACATACTAGGCAGGCCTTCGAGTAGAACCCGATTGGGAAACGACGAGTTGGGTGTCCAGGATTGAAGTGGATAAGATCGTGTGAGGAGGAGATGAGAGTCCAGGAGCAATCTTGGAGCTAGCAAAAGACGACTTCGGAGGACATGATGGAGTGGAGATGTGCTGTTGAGGCTCTATGTCCCACTTGGAACCTAAGGGACTAATAGTAATGACAATAATAATTATGACAAAATGTTTGGTCAGTCTTTTCAGCCGTCACAACATTGTCACTGCTTGGCCACTCACTTGTTTGTGGGTCATTGTCCATTGATCATTGGATGACAGAAAGAGAATGAGCAGTCCACTTTGTCAACAAAAATATATTTAAGGAGGTATAAATTATGAGGCTTTTTATTGAAGAAGTGTTTATGATTCATTATTCACTAGGTCAACTTTGGCCAATGTGTTTTGTGTTTTGCTGAATAAGTATACGCTATTTCCGTTGACCTGCAATGATCATGTTGAACCTTTTCACACGGTGTGGTTTGTAGTCATGGCTGGTGTTGACCACGCCTACCAGTATTCAGTCGAGGTGAAGAGCAGGTTCTCACTATTTCTGGATGATACCTTGAATAGTGAGGACCCGGATATCCTGCTATCCAAATTGCAAACCAAACGAGCAGAGAAAACTAAGAAGGAGAAGTCTCATGCTCAGCCACAGCAACAACAGCAGGCTACACCTGCCAAGGTTGAAACGGTAGTCAAGAGCGAGGCGAGAGCTGATACAACAGTCCCGAAAGGTTGGTGGAATAACAATCCTAACTGCTTTAGCTGCCCCCCGATCTCCAAAGTCTCCAAGTGCCACAGATCTACCACCGGTGTCATCAGAGGATGCACAGAACTACGCAGTGAAGGAGACAGAGGAACTGACCAGTACTTTCGTTCGTGGCCGCGGATCAGGCAGAGGAGCGCCGCGTGGGATGCGCGGAGGCAGAGGTCAGGGTCCACGGATGGCTCCAACGGAGCCACCCCTTGACTTGGCAGGCGATGTGAATGCGCCCAGGTAAGTGGAATTCGATCTCAACGATGATTTACAAGAGGGTCTGGTTTTGAATCAAGAGGACGTGGAAGAGGCCGAGGAAGAGGAATGTTTGGTCGCGGACGTGGTATGCCGTTCAACTCAAATCGGGATTTCGACCATCAGAGTGGTCCTGATCGCCAGTGAGTAGCTTTTTCATTAGGTTTTCATGTTAATAATGATGAATTGTTATCCCTGTCCTATTTCATGCGGAAACATTATCTGATGCCCATTTCGAATAATGAGTCACAACTAACAAGTTTCCTTTGTATTTGTAGAGGTCCGAGACAGTATGGTAGGAGAGATGGGAACTGGAACCCACAGGAAATGGATGCTCAGGCAGCACCCGAGAGTGGTGATACAGAAGAAGCTGTACGTTGGGAAGAGAACCATACTGAAGTAGCCGAACAGTTGGATAGCGCCCCAGTGGAGACTGAAGAGGCTACAGACGGCGTTGTGGAAGCACCTGTTGAAGAGGAACCTAAAAGCTACACGCTGGAAGAGTACAAGGCTATGCGCCAGTCTGCTAAGCCGGCAGTTATCATAAACAACAAGAATCTCCGTAAGGCCAATGACGGCAAAGATGTGTTCGCAAACATGGTGGCTCACAGGAAAGTACAGGAGGTTCATGAGGATGGTGATGAGGTCGAAGAGAAGGAAAACGAGCCTGAGGTATGTTCTGTTTTGATGTACTTAAACTAGATTCGCTCTAGGCACAACAGCCGATAGATATTGACTTCTCGTTCACAGACGAGTTTGCAGGTCGTAGAAGAGGCGGTCGAGGATTTGAGAATAGAGGGTTTGATCGCGGACGTGGTGGTGCACGAGGTGCAAGACCAAGAGGCGAACGTGGAGGTCGTGGAAGAGGTCAGCTAAGGGGTGACGGACGAGGCCGTGGGTTTGGTCGCGTTTTGCCCAATGAGGATTACATTCCGCCTCCAGCTATATACAGTGACCAGGAGTTTCCTTCCTTGAAATAAATTTTCAAAACACAAGTGAAGCAGATTTTTGGATTAGAAGTATTCTCCCTTGTCAACATTTGGTTCCCTGAAGGCTATTAGCATTGGTCTTTACTTATTCATGCTCATCTTCTCCCCCCTTTAAATATTCAGCTTTGTAATCTAGTTCCTTGTAAAAGCAGTTCAAAGACTGAATTTGTAATTATTATGGCTGTGTGCTGCTTGAGATCTGATTGCAAAGCTTTGTACATGAATGTTTTGCCAGTGTCACAGTTTCGCGGTTGACATGACCAATCGCCTTCAATAAACCTTGACAAGAGTACTCTTTGGCTTCTCAAAGGACTAGTTGCTACTGTACTTAGTCTGTTTGTGGACCTTATCGTATCCCAATCAGTGGGCGGGCAGGTTGGATATTATGCATGGTGTTTAACGTATAGCGTACCAGTCTGAGTCTTTTATCCAGATGAGCAAGCTGACTAAAGTGTATGTCAACTGTGAGCTTTCAGGCATAAGGCGGAAGAGTATGGTTGGAGCGTCACGAGTGCATACGATCAGTAGCATAGTTGGACCAAATGATCTTGTATTTGTGTATCTCGTCATGGGTAAGGCCAGTTAGTTTGTGGTAGGGTTTCATTGTGAGTGATGATGAGGTTAGTGTGATGTGTTGGTTTGGTGACCATAAAAGTTCTGTTATTAACTGTCTGGTAATTGTACTCCGACGAAGTGAGAGTGTGTAGTTAGGGAGTTGAGGATCAGTAGTTGAAATCGTGTTCAAAATTAGAAACTGGCCCATTTCTCTCAGCATGCAGTCAATCTTCTGCATCTGCCCGTGGCTCGTCATGCCTCTCGTAGAAAATAGTCAGGTCTCTTCCACTACTATGAGTCATAATGGTGGGGTGTGTAATGGCCGGTAGCTGAGATGTCTATGTTGGGCTTGTGTCTAGCCTGCTCTGAGAAGGTGTACACAAATACGGCTGTTGGTTTGTCAGTAACGGTCCACCTGACTAGCTTGAGAATTTAGAGTGAAGTGAGATAGGGGCTGACTACTCAGTAAGCAAACAGTATGGGTTAACGTTAATTAGTGGAGGATGTTGATTAGAGATGGTTATTGACCAAGGAGGAGACGAGAAAATCTTGAGGTCTAGCTGTCTGTTTATGGTGAGGATTTTGTAGTGCGCTGAAAGCCAGAAGAACTTTCCATCTCCCCAAGGAGTTTGCAAGTGAATCGAGTTGCTCAAGGAGTGGAAGTGGTGTGCTTTGCCTAATACCCTGACCAACTGGAAAGAAATCAAGGCATTCCTTACTCATTTATTACCATCCACTGCACAAATTTCATCGCAAATCATCGTCATTGTCATCACAGCCTGTCATATCCGGCGTGTTTGTTCTCTACCTCCTTTGCACAGACAGATTTCCCATAACATTACTTTCTATTCCTGAATCATGCCGCTTTCTACTTGGTCTTACACTTTGTTGAATTGAACGGGAGCCAAATACAGCCATGCTAAGTCCATCACAATCAGACAAGCACTGATTCAGCCAGGTCGTTTCTCTCGTCGGCAGTACACGCATGATCACAAATGCCCCGCGATGCGGAGGAAGAGACTCAAGCTTACCCTCATGAAGCATCTTTCTCTGGCTGTTTCTCATCGACAACCTATCCAGGTACTCGAGGAAGCAACGAATATGGACGGCACAGACGAAGACGCCAAAGCCAAAGGCAAAACAAACCTACACTACTCTGAAGCCAGTCGGAAAACCTTTGGCACTAAGCATAAAAACGAGATTCGGATTTAAAACACTAATGCCAAGTTGGTCAGTTCTTGCATATGGTCCAAAGAATTAGCGCGTCACCAAAAGCATTTCGAATGCGCTACAGACTTATACCACCACCATCTTTCACTGGCCCGCTAACGAAGATCGGACGGTCAGAAAGGATTGACAATAAGAAACTCTGCCAACCAACCAAACAAGAACCTATCGCCCAACAAATATGCCGACGGAAATGGAGATGGATGTCTCATCCATCACCCTCTGAGGAGATCGTTGAGTGACATCACATACTAGGCAGGCCTTCGAGTAGAACCCGATTGGGAAACGACGAGTTGGGTGTCCAGGATTGAAGTGGATAAGATCGTGTGAGGAGGAGATGAGAGTCCAGGAGCAATCTTGGAGCTAGCAAAAGACGACTTCGGAGGACATGATGGAGTGGAGATGTGCTGTTGAGGCTCTATGTCCCACTTGGAACCTAAGGGACTAATAGTAATGACAATAATAATTATGACAAAATGTTTGGTCAGTCTTTTCAGCCGTCACAACATTGTCACTGCTTGGCCACTCACTTGTTTGTGGGTCATTGTCCATTGATCATTGGATGACAGAAAGAGAATGAGCAGTCCACTTTGTCAACAAAAATATATTTAAGGAGGTATAAATTATGAGGCTTTTTATTGAAGAAGTGTTTATGATTCATTATTCACTAGGTCAACTTTGGCCAATGTGTTTTGTGTTTTGCTGAATAAGTATACGCTATTTCCGTTGACCTGCAATGATCATGTTGAACCTTTTCACACGGTGTGGTTTGTAGTCATGGCTGGTGTTGACCACGCCTACCAGTATTCAGTCGAGGTGAAGAGCAGGTTCTCACTATTTCTGGATGATACCTTGAATAGTGAGGACCCGGATATCCTGCTATCCAAATTGCAAACCAAACGAGCAGAGAAAACTAAGAAGGAGAAGTCTCATGCTCAGCCACAGCAACAACAGCAGGCTACACCTGCCAAGGTTGAAACGGTAGTCAAGAGCGAGGCGAGAGCTGATACAACAGTCCCGAAAGGTTGGTGGAATAACAATCCTAACTGCTTTAGCTGCCCCCCGATCTCCAAAGTCTCCAAGTGCCACAGATCTACCACCGGTGTCATCAGAGGATGCACAGAACTACGCAGTGAAGGAGACAGAGGAACTGACCAGTACTTTCGTTCGTGGCCGCGGATCAGGCAGAGGAGCGCCGCGTGGGATGCGCGGAGGCAGAGGTCAGGGTCCACGGATGGCTCCAACGGAGCCACCCCTTGACTTGGCAGGCGATGTGAATGCGCCCAGGTAAGTGGAATTCGATCTCAACGATGATTTACAAGAGGGTCTGGTTTTGAATCAAGAGGACGTGGAAGAGGCCGAGGAAGAGGAATGTTTGGTCGCGGACGTGGTATGCCGTTCAACTCAAATCGGGATTTCGACCATCAGAGTGGTCCTGATCGCCAGTGAGTAGCTTTTTCATTAGGTTTTCATGTTAATAATGATGAATTGTTATCCCTGTCCTATTCCATGCGGAAACATTATCTGATGCCCATTTCGAATAATGAGTCACAACTAACAAGTTTCCTTTGTATTTGTAGAGGTCCGAGACAGTATGGTAGGAGAGATGGGAACTGGAACCCACAGGAAATGGATGCTCAGGCAGCACCCGAGAGTGGTGATACAGAAGAAGCTGTACGTTGGGAAGAGAACCATACTGAAGTAGCCGAACAGTTGGATAGCGCCCCAGTGGAGACTGAAGAGGCTACAGACGGCGTTGTGGAAGCACCTGTTGAAGAGGAACCTAAAAGCTACACGCTGGAAGAGTACAAGGCTATGCGCCAGTCTGCTAAGCCGGCAGTTATCATAAACAACAAGAATCTCCGTAAGGCCAATGACGGCAAAGATGTGTTCGCAAACATGGTGGCTCACAGGAAAGTACAGGAGGTTCATGAGGATGGTGATGAGGTCGAAGAGAAGGAAAACGAGCCTGAGGTATGTTCTGTTTTGATGTACTTAAACTAGATTCGCTCTAGGCACAACAGCCGATAGATATTGACTTCTCGTTCACAGACGAGTTTGCAGGTCGTAGAAGAGGCGGTCGAGGATTTGAGAATAGAGGGTTTGATCGCGGACGTGGTGGTGCACGAGGTGCAAGACCAAGAGGCGAACGTGGAGGTCGTGGAAGAGGTCAGCTAAGGGGTGACGGACGAGGCCGTGGGTTTGGTCGCGTTTTGCCCAATGAGGATTACATTCCGCCTCCAGCTATATACAGTGACCAGGAGTTTCCTTCCTTGAAATAAATTTTCAAAACACAAGTGAAGCAGATTTTTGGATTAGAAGTATTCTCCCTTGTCAACATTTGGTTCCCTGAAGGCTATTAGCATTGGTCTTTACTTATTCATGCTCATCTTCTCCCCCCTTTAAATATTCAGCTTTGTAATCTAGTTCCTTGTAAAAGCAGTTCAAAGACTGAATTTGTAATTATTATGGCTGTGTGCTGCTTGAGATCTGATTGCAAAGCTTTGTACATGAATGTTTTGCCAGTGTCACAGTTTCGCGGTTGACATGACCAATCGCCTTCAATAAACCTTGACAAGAGTACTCTTTGGCTTCTCAAAGGACTAGTTGCTACTGTACTTAGTCTGTTTGTGGACCTTATCGTATCCCAATCAGTGGGCGGGCAGGTTGGATATTATGCATGGTGTTTAACGTATAGCGTACCAGTCTGAGTCTTTTATCCAGATGAGCAAGCTGACTAAAGTGTATGTCAACTGTGAGCTTTCAGGCATAAGGCGGAAGAGTATGGTTGGAGCGTCACGAGTGCATACGATCAGTAGCATAGTTGGACCAAATGATCTTGTATTTGTGTATCTCGTCATGGGTAAGGCCAGTTAGTTTGTGGTAGGGTTTCATTGTGAGTGATGATGAGGTTAGTGTGATGTGTTGGTTTGGTGACCATAAAAGTTCTGTTATTAACTGTCTGGTAATTGTACTCCGACGAAGTGAGAGTGTGTGGTTAGGGAGTTGAGGATCAGTAGTTGAAATCGTGTTCAAAATTAGAAACTGGCCCATTTCTCTCAGCATGCAGTCAATCTTCTGCATCTGCCCGTGGCTCGTCATGCCTCTCGTAGAAAATAGTCAGGTCTCTTCCACTACTATGAGTCATAATGGTGGGGTGTGTAGTGGCCGGTAGTTGAGATGTCTATGTTGGGCTTGTGTCTAGCCTGCTCTGAGAAGGTGTACACAAATACGGCTGTTGGTTTGTCAGCAACGGTCCACCTGACTAGCTTGAGAATTTAGAGTGAAGTGAGATAGGGGCTGACTACTCAGTAAGCAAACAGTATGGGTTAACGTTAATTAGTGGAGGATGTTGATTAGAGATGGTTATTGACCAAGGAGGAGACGAGAAAATCTTGAGGTCTAGCTGTCTGTTTATGATGAGGATTTTGTAGTGCGCTGAAAGCCAGAAGAACTTTCCATCTCCCCAAGGAGTTTGCAAGTGAATCGAGTTGCTCAAGGAGTGAAAGTGGTGTGCTTTGCCTAATACCCTGACCAGCTGGAAAGAAATCAAGGTATTCTTCACTGATGCAGCCGCTATCAAGGCTGGAATCTGATTGATCTCGGTTAGTTTTGTGTTCCTGGCTGTATATACGGGTTATGTGTTTTTGCCCCTCTCAAGGCGTTGCCATTTCGAGGTTTTTGGACTCGGCTTCAGTTGATAGCCTTTAAGTGATTGATTTGTGTCTGAGTATTGGTAGGTTAGCTGTCGCCATCGGTTTGTACTGCTCAGCAGAGTCGCATATGTTATTATTTTACTGACACTTGTGCTTGTTATTGTCATATATACTAATTCATGAATTGAGTGTTTTTTTATGTCCTACTGAGGTATCGCTGTGTATTCTGTGTCAGACTATTACACAGTATATGTTCAGCATGAGAATCTTGTTTTGGTTTCTTTAATTGTGAACTGTTGACTGTTTTCAGTGTTTTGTCGGTTGATATGATGTCGTCTTCATATGTCCGTTTTATGTTGTGATGTTTCGTGCGATATGTGAATGTGGGTTTGTAGTTTCTCATGGGTACTTTTGCTTCATCTGTGGTTATTCTTTTGTCAGTGTATGATAGACCTTGAATTTGTATTAGTCTATGTTTGTCGATTCTGTTAATGGGATGAATGTAATAAGAAATTGCTGTATTGTCCTGCTCTCTTCACTCATTTTCTTGTCTACCTTTGTGTGCTATTTGGAACGTGGCAACTCGAACTGCTGCACTTCGGTGCCAAGTTATATGTTGAATCCAGACAGTATTGTCCTGCCATGTTTTCTTATCATTCCCACCTCACTTTGGTGTGTAGGATACGTTGTTATATTTGGTACTCGTTATCTTTGCTATGTGTACTGCATAGTGTATTAAAGATCGACTCCATATGTATCGCCTTTTAGTGTGCCTAGTCCTATCACATTAAAAGCGACCGTATAGGTGGTTTGAGGCATTGTTTATGCACAACGGTTAGTTGTGTCAAGATATCCCTCCGACTCGTCCTCAGTCATGGATTTACTTAATGTTAGCTAGCAGATGTTCTGCATGTAAACCAGTCTGTAATTTGCGCGAGCGTTTAGTAACGGAATAGGGAGTGTGATGCTTGAGTTGTGATCAATAAACCGAGTGGTTGTAACGCGCATTACGTCGATTGTTGTGAGACTTTCGTTCGGCAATTCAAGTATTTAATAACAGTAAGTGGCTGGAACTATTTACTTCTCTAAGCCTATTCAATACTTCCCAGTGCTTGCATAAACCAAAACAAATCTAATCACCAGAACTGAGTAACATTGGTCAAAATAGAATTAGGTCAAGAGAAAGTTAGTGGTGACCACCAGAACAAAACTTTATAGCAGTGAACTAAGCTGTGTGATTAATGCGATGCCTAGATGGTTCAAGAGACGAGACCTCTTATAATATCATATCATAAGGTGGGAAAACGTTAGTAGATTGATACCATAAATTGCTTTGTCCAATGTTGTGTTAGGTGAAACAACACAGTAATAATCAGTCTAGGTATGTAATTATTTGCGTCAAGTTTTGATGGATCTAGGTGGTTAACATTGGGTTGGTTTTGAAGAGCCTGATGGAAAGGCGACACGGGATCCTTAAAGAACTTCATTACTATTAGTGTGAACTAATGTGGGAAGGCATAGAATACAACACAATTGTGTTTTTATGGCTAGTAGTGACGCATTTATGCCATTTGTGGATAGTTTTGCGGTGTGTCATTGAAGGACTTCAGCTGTGCATCAAATGCTTTCCTACCTCGATCAAACCATGTGTCATTTAATACATGATTGTTCAGTGTTTTATCTGCTTAACTCAACCATCTTCCAACTTATTCCCATTTTGCTCACTGTTAGTCCACAAGGAAGCTAGTGGCTTAGTCCGCATAACACATCTAAGCCACATCAAACGATGTAGAGCTACACACTGATATTCGGCACCAGTTTACTCCGTCCTCCTTGATCTTTATGAAACATAGTCATTGTAAGTGGAGGACATGTTAAGGCTAACTGTCTTTGATCATAAGTTTTTGCCTTCTATCTCCCGTGAGTAATGTCGAGGTTAGGTAAAGTGTTTAGTAATAAGAGAAAATCAATCGATGATGCTGTGAAACTATGCTCATGCCTGGACATCGCTTTCCTTGACAGCCAGTGATAGCTGATAATAGGATCAGGTTGGAAAAGAGCTAGCTTAAACATGGAATAAGTCTATAAGATCTTTGACAGTTAGTCTGGGTCAACCATATTGGGAGGTATGGGCTTGCTTGTTGGAGTCGTTGAGTTTCTATGACCCAATGACTGGAGACAGTTAGTGATATTGGCTCGTAATCGTTCTTAATGGCTCAGATGCATTCAATCTTTGTGATGTGTGTGCGTTAAAACCGAGTATTTTCCCATGCCACTATTCTTTCTCCCTCAATTTCCTGCTTATATAGTCATTTTGAATTCCTTTTACCTCTCTTCTGCCTTTGTGTGGCAACTTGAACTGCTGCTGTAGGAAGTTCTGTGTTGAAGCCAGAAATACTGAAACTGATGACTTCTCTCAGTTCGCTATATAAAGGTTAGATCATCAGTTTGTCTTAGTTTTATAGGCTCTCAGAAGTGTTCTTGAGGAATTTGTTAACAATGAGATAAACCTGAGGCAGACTAACATCACACACTTAGCTGTCATCTTTATATCTTAACCTACAGAGGGGTGTGACAAGGTTGCTCAATCTCACTATTTCTCTTTAGATATACCATAGATGACATTTCAGGGACAGTTTAGATGGGTGTGCGTCGTACTGGTGTAGGTCTGTTTCCTGAAGGAAGACTTTGAGTATACACACGATATTGTCTTAATTTGTCATAACTTACAGAATACCAAAAATCCCACTTAATCAGTTGATGACCAGTGTCTGTAAGTATGGTATGTACTTTGCGAAATATTGTTGGAGGATTGACAGGAGCCTACAAAAGCATTCACCCACGTAGGTGGGGCATTGGAACTAGTTGGTAAGTCCGGGTAACTAAATAAATGTATAAGTGCAGGAAGAGATGTGAGGGATAAAATCTCTAACCGTGTAGTGGAAGCAGGGATTGCATACGCTAATCTTAGCCACATGGCCAACAAATATCGAGTTCAAAATGCTTAGGTCAGCGCAGTGTTCCTGTAAGCATGAGACCTAACCTAGCCGAGCTGGCAATGTACTGCCACTCTACGTATTCGGTTATCACTGCTTCTATAGAATTGTTTGCATCCAACAGTATTATTGTCCAAGTAATTCTGAGATTCAATGGCGTGTGTTTGAACATGGTGAAGATGGTATTTCAAGAAATGATGCCATCTTGAGAATCTGGCATTTGATTTGACGGTAATTCGTAGGTTGAGCCTAGTAGCCGGACGAAAAGTATTTGTTTTAGGAGTCTACTTGGTAAAAGTGACCTGCCAGTAAAACACTGATACTTTATATCACTATTCCTGAAACCAAAGGTTAGAAAATGCCGGTGGATTCTTTCTGATTCCAGCAGGTGCCGAACGTGATGAGGAGTGAAAACTGCACAAAAGTCTTCGTGAACAGTACTGGGTAGCAAAAGCGAAAGAGATGGAAATTGGCATCGATGATAGTTAAAACCGGATAACTGTTCAGGCTTATCAAGTAAACATGTGGCGAAAGGCATATGATAAGTGAGACAATCTCAGAGAAAAATGACGCCTTAATTAGCTCTCAGTATTAACGGCTGGAACTTTGAAAGAAACACTTTAAGGAGAAATTTTAATAGCCTAGAGCCACACTCAACATGCCCACCACATACCTGAGTGTGACGCAGACACCGGTCCTCCATCTGTAACTGAAGTTACAAAGGTTGCCACTAATTCGAAACCAGGCAAAGCAGCAGAATACGATGGAATGATTCCGGAGGTGTTTAAGGATGGTGCTGACATATTGCTGTCTGAGATAACTAAGTTACTAGACAACATCCAGGAATCAGAGACAGTCTCGTTGAACTGATGTAAGTTATTGATTATCCTAGTATACAAGAAGGGAGACAAGTCTTCTTGTGATAGTCTCAAGGGGACCAATATGGTATCTAAAGTCCTAGGCTTCGTAATTATGCGTAGTGATACTGGAGAGAAACAAACACTAGAAAAC